AGGTTGCAGGCGGCTATGGTAAGGGCCATGACATTTCCCGACCAGGCGCCACGTGCTTGCCAATCACAACACACACTGGCCCAGCTAACCAATCACTGCACATTTCGTATTTCAGAAGGCGGGCCTTCATTTGATACAGGAACTATTCGAGCCATTCATGCCAGACTGGGGAGAGAGGTGTTGTAATAATGTAAAATATGTGAAAAATAATGTGTTTTTCAAACAACCTAGTATTGGCGCTTTTCCACTGCGTGGTACGGCTCAGTACGGCACGGCTCGGCTTGCGTTTCCACCGCAGTTCAGTACCGCTTTACAGTGGGCGGGATTATTCACATGTCGTTATAGTTGCACCGCCTCTACTACCACGACTCCTAAAAAAAAAAACTTTTTCATTCCGCGTCGCCCCATCAAGCTCTCGCTGGATCCGCTCCTCTGCTATCAACGAGATGAACGTCTGTTCTTCCGCAACAGACAACAAAACTTTTTGGTTGTTTAAAAAAAAGATGCGCTCGTTCAAAACCGTTGCGTTCGATCCTTCGCGGGCTGTGCTGATTTAAATCTAGCGGTTCTTTTGTGTTTGTGTCGGTGTTGTAATAATGTAAAATATGTGAAAAATAATGTGTTTTTCGAACAACCTTGTATGAGAGCCTGTTCTAGTACACCCCCAAAACAAAATAAAGACTTTGTAAAAGAGCATAATAGGACCCCTTTAAATGATGCTGTAAACTATACAGGGAACCCCTAGTTAGTACATTAAAGGTTAAAATTAACAACACTTTTGTGATAAAACTGACAGAATTTGAAATCTGAGACTTTGTTTCTTATCAAAAGTAACAACTTATTGTGATTATTTGATGGCAGGAGTGCCATAAAATAATGTTTAGTGAAGTTATGTTCACATATTTTGATGTAAGAATTCATATCAGTTCATCAAAATTAAAATTAATTAATTGAGTACTCAATATTGTTAACCCAGCCCTATTCAATAGATAGCACTAGCAGACAAAGGTCTCTCTCTGACATAATTTACATCAAAAGATCAAGGAAAATTCATGATAAGAGCACTGACATAACCCTGCTCTCTCTGATAATGTCCCTAAACAATTAATACGATATCTAAACATCAAGTGTTCACTTTTCTTTAATCACGTTTGTATATTCCATTCATGTCACCTTATTCACAAACAATCATTCATTACAGGATAGAAAGGAACTTACGATTTGAAGTTTGATGGTCTTTCCGTCTAATTCTATAGTTCTTATTTTAAAGTCCACACCGATAGTGCTAATGTAGCTTTCTGTATATGTGTCATCCTGAGAGAAGCAAAACAGCAGGTGAATTAGATATTTCAGTAGTCAAATATCTGCCTAGAGTGCTTTGAAGTCAAATATAAATGTATTCAATTCAATATAAACGTGATATAACAGTCTTTTAGTATGCAAATTTATTTTGTACACAAATAAAATAAATATTGGGGGGGAATCATGGCCTAATGGTTAGACAGTCTGACGTGTAACTCAAAGGTCGCAGTTCAAGTCTCAGTACCAGCAGGGATAGTAGGTGGGGGAAGTTAATGACCAGCACTCTCTTCCAACTAAAATACCACGACTGAGGTGCCCTTGAGCAAGGCACCGAACCCCCAACTGCTCCACGGGCGCCGCAGCAAAAATGGCTGCCCACTGCTCTGGGTGTGTGGGTGTGCACTTGGATGGGTTAAATGCAGAGCACAAATTCCGAGTATGGGACACTACACTTTGCTAATACGTAGATGCAAGCAAAAATTATGGCAATATCTCCATGAGGGCAAATACAGGAAAGCATATAGCCTACTTACTGCAAATCGGAGAAGAAGGCAAGACTTTCCAACACCAGAGTCACCAATCAAGAGCAGCTTGAATAAATAGTCACTGTATGAAAAGAAAATTAACATTAGATGGTCAATATTTGTCCACCAATTTTTGGCAGAACAGTTGTGTGAAATATACACAACCATACAAAAGTTTGGGGCTGGCAAGACTTTCTAATGTATTGGGAAGAAGTCTCTTATGCTCACCAATAAGAACATCATTTTTTGCACCAATGTACAAGTCTTTACTGTCCCTTTTGGTCAATTTAATGCATCCTTGCTAAATAAAACTATTAATTTATTTAAAAATAAATAAATATATAAATAACATTTGAACGAGTGTACCCATTATACTGATGCAGACAGGAGGCCCTACATCTCAAAACACCTCAGCCTGCCCTGAACCCAACTGTTGCTTTCATTTACTGTATATTACACATTGTTTATTTTCTAGACCTTCGTTAGGAATGAGGTCATTAAAATCCCCCTGCAACATGTGAAATAGGCCAAACCCTTGCTTTCCAGCACTGTAAGACCATTGTCTGATGTAACTCAGTTAAACATGGGGTAAATCAGTCACTGGTCCAATTTTGCATGCAGAAAATAAAATGTTTGTTTAAAGAGCAGGTCATATGATATTTTAAAGTGTCCTAATATTGTGTTGGAGTCCCCTACAACAGGTTTAAATGCATCTAAGGTCAGAAAACGTAATTTTCTCAGAATATACATTTAATATTAGAATAATTTTTCAATGATTTCGAAACGATTCGTTTCGAAGCAGTTCTGAGCTTAAGGTCTGTAATCTCCTCCCTTCCATAAGCCTACGCTGCTCTGATTGGTCAGCTGGCCAAGTCTGTTGTGATTGGTCTTTCCGTATACAATGTGTGTCGGAAACGAAACGCCCATTACCATGATTATTTTTTTGCTCTGGAGGGTTACTTGTAAACAAAAATGCTATAAGTTTACAAAAATGGCATCGATATTACCTTATCAATTCGAGCCCGAGTCCAGGATGATACAGATTCAGTCGCTCAACCGGAAACTCCATCACACGCACGACTTGATCAGGACGTTTCTCAGTGGTAAGTTTAAACTTTGTATGTGGTACTTTACATGATGTGACAGCAGTTTTATTGCATTCATTATTATTATTTACTTATTTGAGGTGCACGTGTGGGAACTGTGTTAGAATACCCAGTGAGGCTAAAAACAGGTTTTCTCGTCATGATGTAAACACACTAACTAGCGGAAGTGTTTGTGGGCAGGTCAGAGTGTTCGTATAACAGGCGGGGATTATGCAAATGTGTTACCTTGTGACGTATATAGATAACAGGCAGAAGATTCGAAAATATGACGACCCATTAAGGCGATTCAGAGCCGACTCTTTCTTTTGAGAGACAATATCTTTATTTATCATGCACTTTTTTGATTAACAACTTTGCAGGCTGTTTACGTTGAAGAATAGCTACGTTACAAACTGCAAAAAAGATATTTTTCGAAAACCCATATGACCTGCTCTTTAACAGAAACAATGTGCTTGAGGACCTATGAGGTCGGGAAACTTGAGTAAGCTGATCAAGCATTCCACAGAGGGAATTTTGCCTGTCGCGCTAAATCCTCTGGCCTTATTCAACATGCCCTAGTAAGAAAAGACCATAGGAAGGAAATTCACTGGATCAGCCTGGTCAAGACCAGCTCATCGACTCAGCAGAACGGTCTGTTTTCCTCTCCATCCTGCCCACTGCACTGAATTTAAGTCATGCTCTCCTTGTTAGGTTGACTGGAACAAACGCTCCTGTGTAGGGAACAGCTATATCAAAAACTGCATGTAAAGACCCTCTGTTTATACACTGGTTTCTGATTTCTATCAAATAGAATAAGTAGGTGTAGTATAAGTGTCTTCAGCTAAGTATGGTCTTAAAAATGTCTTGTTTAAACATGCAGATCTGAAATTCTGCATTAAATCCTACATGGATGGATGTTAAAAACCTGTGTCAGAAAAGACAGAGACAATCCACATGAATTCTGGCTTGCTATCATTTAAAAAAAAAAATCACTATTCATGTTATTTCAGGAAGCCACAAAGTCTGTATGCGCTTTAGTATTGAATCTTTGATACAACTCATGTGAAGAACCGGAAGAGAAACTGCAAATGAGTGTTAACCACTGATCAACCATCATTATAACAGCACCTAACTATGAAAAAACATACTTCACCCTTTTTCTGACCATGTAAAATACAAGTAACAGCTGATACTTAAGTCTATTAAGAAACAGAGTTGCTTAACACTCAGACTAGTGATAGTTGTAATGAAGCCTGTAGCTTATCATTTGGCATGTGACCTACACATGACTACTACACAATAGAGGAAGGGATGGGCACTTCAGTTCCTTGAGACATGCTTGACATCTGCACATTCAGACATTTAGACAGGAGTGTAGAACCCTCACAATTCAGTGCCAATGAACACTGGAATCATGGCATCAAATACTTTTTGAGATTATGTAAATTAATACTGATAAGGAAGCAAAGATAGCACAAATCAGACTGGTGCTGTGTAAATGTGGCTATTATGCATGTAATCTTGCTAAACCATCTTTTATTTCTAAGAAGCAGACCGAAAAACCCTGACTTTAACTTATACATTTTATTTAAGTATCAAAGTGTACAGTACTTCTACAACTTAAAAATGTAGTATTAAACAACAAGGCACGTGACTTGAATAAAATATCTTAAATCGCTTTCTAAACTTTAAAAGCTGGTTTAGCAAATAGAATGAACGCGAATGACTTGATTAACGTTACTCATGAGTAATTTACAAGCCCACCTTCCTGATACTGACATCCCTTTTTAACTAGCTAGTAGCTACTTAAACCGCAACCCTCTTTCTGACTAAATTAAGGGGTCAGCAACAGGTTACTAAATATGTTAACGATACTTAACCAGCTATTTATCTATTTCACCAGCTGGTCGAGCTGTTTAAAACGTAAATGAAAAGCGATCTGAAGACGTTAGCTTACATCAGCTAGCTTTCATATTAATTTCTGATGAAGCCTGACAGATAACATGCGTTTTAATGGCTTGGGATTAAAATATTACAATGTACGAAATGTTAAAGGTGTGGTATGTATGACTAACTAAGGAGCTCTACTTGTCATAAATGTAACGCGGAAGGATATTTTACCCCTCGGAGCTCCGCTATACAACAACAGCCGTTTAATGACAAAACAACAACAACACTTCTTTAAAGAAAGCTATGTGTTAAAAATGCCGGTCTTGAAAATCACCGTGCTTTCCGGCTTTGACGAAGTGAAACAGATCAAATACATTGATATTAGTTGCTGGTACGATTAAACACAGCTAGTCATTATTGCTGCTGCTGCCTGTCAAAAGTAGCTACAGGTAAATGATGAGCTCAGTAACGACAAACAACAGTGTAATAATAACTCAACCACTTACTATTCGGGATTCATCGTGGACTGGACACTGTGAAAACCGCTTGTCTTCTAACAATACAACTCAGCGGCGTGAAGATAGACTAGAAACAATAACCTTTCTCCCGATTAAAAAGTAACTAGCTGGCTAGCTACTACCGCAAAGGCTAGTCGGTTGAAACCCAAAATGGCTGACTCTTCAACCAGGAAATAGGAACTCCTTAAACAGAGTGCGTAGGCAATGTCGTCTTCATGATCTATGCGGAAATTGTAGTTCAATTCAGATATCATCTGACTAGCGCGAATGGAAAACGTCTGTATAAAGAACTACAACACCCACATCTATTTATTAAACGTTTACGATGAGTTCATAGTGACTTGAATCGTTCACGCTGAGGACTGCCGCAATCCTGCCCCCTATCAAGAGGGGTAAAATATTACGTCATTTGTGAAACGTGGCATTGGCTAACGTGAGTGTGAGTCTCTGATCAATACGTGTCAAAAAGAAGACAGTGAACCGCCAGACAGATTTTTATTGATTATTAAGAATAATGAACAAAGTGTTTTTTTCATACAAATAATTGAAAAGTTAAACACAAATGGTAAAAAGCAATGACGTTTTATGACCAACCACATGTAATGAGGAGAAATGATACCTTTTTGGATTTATGTTGGTTAATGAATGAATGAATGAGGCATTTATATAGCGCTTTATTGTGTATTGCTGTACACCCAAAGCGCTTTACAATCATGTGGGGGGTCTCTCAACCACCACCAGTGTGCAGCATCCACCTGGATGATGCAATGGCAACCACAGGACAACGGCGCCAGTGCGCTCACCACACACCAGCTACAGGTGGAGAGGAGAGAGAGATAGAGCCAATCGAGTGGATGGGGATTATTAGGAGGCCATGATTGACAAGGGCCAGTGGAGGGAATTTGGCCAGGACACCGGGGTTACACCCCTACTCTGCGAAAAGTGCAATGGGATTTTTAATGACAACAGAGAGACAGGACCTCAGTTTAATGTCTCATCCGAAGGACGGTGCTTTTTGACAGTATAGTGTCCCCTTCACTATACTAGGGCATTAGGACCCACGCAGACCACAGGGTGAGCACCCCCTGCTGGCCTCACTAACACTTAATGACTAGCTTTTCCACCGAACTCAACCCTTGGTTCCAGAACGTGTATGGAAATTCCACTGAGGATGCAGCTCCAACCTCTCCCTGTTGTGAGAAGACCATTTTAGAAACAATGATCAGCTGCAATTAATGGTATAAGCTGCTAAAAATGACATTTTATCAAGAGAAACGATAAAGAACCCCTACAAATGTGTAAGTTCAAACTGCATATAAGCAATATTTATTATATTAAGGTCAGGAACAGTGGACCATATCAGAATCAGAATCAGAATCAGAATGAGCTTTATTGCCAGGTATGTTTACACATACGAGGAATTTGTTTTCGTGACAGAAGCGTCCACAGTGTAACAGAATGACAGTGACAGAACAAAAAACACAGATAATAAAAAATAGAACAAGTAAATAAGGAATAAAAATATATAAATTGACAGTTGTATGTGCAGGTATATTGCAATAGACAGTTTTTGTATGTACAGGTACTGTATATTATGTGCATATTTGAGGTGTAGACTGAGTATGTGTGTTAGATAAATAAGTGTATGAGTGAATAAATAGTGTGTGTTCCACAGTTATTATTAAGTGTTCATGAGATGGATGGCCTGAGGGAAGAAACTGTTCCTGTGTCTGGTCGTTCTGGTGCTCAGAGCTCGGTAGCGTCGACCAGATGGCAACAGTTCAAAGAGGGAGTGT